AATAATAATAATAATAATAATAAATCTTGTTGTGTGGCCCCAATACTCTGTCATAGTAAACAAAGTATTAAAGTCAGGAAATTGTTTTTATTAAGTCGATTTGTATCTCTCCTACAGCTTACATCACAATTATTGAGAAATGACCAAATATGCATCTTAGGTGACGGCGTCATTTAGTAGCTTTTAGCTGCTTTCAGGACAGCCGATAACTTTTCTTACAGAGAAGTTGGCAACCTTCTCAAAATCTCCCTCCGTGCTCAGATCACAACTCGACAGCCCCCGGCAGGAAACTTTACGACCATCCACTTGCCCCTAAATCTTACCTGCAGTAGGCTATGAGGTACCAGATGGCGCCAAAGAAAAGCCAYGTGACGGCGTAGGCCATGACGAAGACGAAGAGCGAGCAGCGCCAGTTCAGGTCCACCAGCGTGGTGAAGATGTCAGTCAGGTAGCGGTAGGTCTCCCTCATGTTGCCGTGCTGCACGTTGCAACGACCGTTCTTCTCCACGTAGCGCTGCCGCTTACGTCGAGCCCGGGCTGACAGAAAACACGAAGCAAACATGAAACCTCTTCAAAACCACGTAAAAGACTTTCTTTCAACACGTAAGACACTTTTTTTTTAAATATCTCTCTCAAAAGCATTTAGCGCGTGGGAACAAAAGGCCCTCTGTTGTTTTAAATTGTGGAAAGATTTGCCGTTTGAAGCTGTTGTTTTAAATTGTGGAAAGATTTGCCGTTTGAAGCTACAACAGGACGGCCCGATGAACGGAAGATGAAGGAAGGGTGGTGCCGAGGGACGGAACCGCTTAAGAGAGTGAGGGGGGGAAGACGAAAATGAAAAGAGACAGGTGAGAAGAGGAGAACACAGCGAGTGTGACAGGACAACATCATCAAACACTCAGAGAAGAAAAGCTACAAGTTATCTCACAGCCCCGCTGATGTCTCTTATCTGATCGCGAATCGTTTTGAAGGATGATAAAAGCTAGTTGTCTCTTTATGAAGACACTAAAAAGGAAATAACCCTGCTCCTCTACGACCATATATGGAATATTCCCCTGAGTTCTTCAGCTAACCTCGGGCGGGAGACATTATACGTACAATAAAAAATTTGAGCAAAAAAAAGAGATAAAAAAGTGCAAATGTGTCAAAAATCACTGAGGGGTGAAGCACTGCTGCACGGTCCAATTTAGAGATTTGCTACAGAAAGAGAGGTTGGTGGGGGGTGGGGGGGGTGCAGGCGGTTTTAGCGGAGAGAGAGACCTCAGCTCCACTGAGAGTCAGAAAAAACTCAGGATGATGTTTAAACTCTACGCTTTGAGCTTTTCAGACGCATCCTACAACGAGGGACAGCGGAGAACAAGGAAGTGGCGCTCACCCCACCCGAAGCGGCCCCTCTCTTTTTCCGTCCCCTGGGTCTTCTTCCTGTGCTGATTGGCTGTGGCCTCCCGCTCAGCCAGCTTGGACTGGAACGATCTGTTGACCTTGGTCGTGGCGGGAGGGGAGGGCGTCGTCTGCGTGGTGACGACGTGGCCCAGCTCCTCCGACACGTTGAAGACGCCCGTGGAGGCTTTGGAGGCCACATCTGCTTCTTCCTCCCCGTCTTTTTTCTCCTCCACGGGGAGAGCGAGGGAGTCAGGCCGGGAGGGGAAGACAGAGTTCTCCAGCGCCATGGCCTATATTTATATATATATTTATATTTATATTTGTGTGTCTGTGTGTGTGTGTGAAGTATATTAGTGTGTTACGGATATCCTCCTTTTGTTAGACGGTCCAGTTGGTATTGATTGGATCATTTGTTTGTTTCACTGAAGCCTGGAATAAAGGAAGAGAAAAAGCAAAAAAACAAATTAAATCATGGAATTGATTTGAAGCCGTGTGTTTCTTTAGCTTCTTCTGAAATTCTTTTGTTATCATCAGAACATCAAGTCTTCTCAAACTGCTGTGAATCTGAACACAAATATCAAAGCTTTTAGGGTTATTTTTCTGTAAATGCTGTTTAATCTTCTGTGTGTTTTTTTTATTTGAAACTACTTCGGCTGTTTTATGATTCGTGTACCATAAGCATTCAGCTTGTGCAAAGTACAACTGAGACTTTGGGATTTGGAAACTTTTATACTTTTRTGTACCTTTGTTTACAGTTTTTCCATTAAGCATTAAGCATTAAGCTGTAGCATAAGTTGAGAAATCTTGCTGAAAACATTGTGCTCTTTGAAATTGAACCCATTTCAGCAGATTTGATTAATTCTTAGCTTTCAGCTACTATTTTGCCAACTGTTTTGCTAGTCTTCATTTTYAGCTACWTTTTTTCAGCTTTTAGCTASTGTTCTGTTAATTTTAGKTTTTTTGTTCTATATATGTTGTTTCAGTTGCTTTTTAGCTATTGCTCTGCTAGCTTTAGCTTTGTTTATTTTTAGGTAATTTTTGCTTTTAGCTATTCTGCTAGCTTTCGCTTCGTTTAATGTTTAGGTAATTTTTGTATTTAGTTTTAGCCCTGCTAGTTTTAGCTATTAGCTGGTGTMTTAATTTAGCTTTAAGTTTTGTTTTTCTTCTGGTTTTAGGTTTTTACCTGTTGGCTGATTTAAGCTTTTAGCTGCCATTATCTTAGACTTTATGTTTTTAACGTAAAGTTTTGGTCCTTTAATTATTTGTTTTGATCACTTTAATATTTTAGTTTCATCCTCTTTAACAAAYATCAACAGTCATTCAGCATAAACTGTGTATTTTAACAGAAAATGCAGTTTTAAAAAAGATTTATTTAAATCAAAAATTTATTTTCTTTCCCTGCAGACAACCTGATCCTGGACCACAGCTGCACATTTAGACACTTTAATTAGTTTCACAAAATGCCTTGGGCTGTATGTTTGTGAGGTCTTTGCATCTGAGTGTGTGTGTGTTGTGTAAGTGCACTTACTGCTGTTTTAAATGTGGATTTAAACTCTGTGCCTGCTGAGATTTCTTACATAAGTCCCATGGAGGACTCTGAGTTAAATATGCACAGCGAGGCATGATGTTCCTGTAATATTTGCACAGTAAAATGGAGTCCAGGGTCCTCCACGTCCAGACCTGGATGTGTTGTTGTGTAGCTGAGTGGCGGATGGACGCAGAGRGGCAGTCAAGATGACGCACTAGCCCTGATGGATGGATCAGAAATAGCTCCTGTTTCAGAGGATCTGTGGGAGGCAGTCAGGAGGCTACAGAAACCAAAAAAACAGCTCGGCTGGAGGGTTCATAACACAGCAGAGAAAAGACCAAAGCCCTACCTGCTCTGCGTTGCAACTTCTGGGGGTGAAAAGGATCCGGAGCGAGCTGTTTTACCACGAGAAAAGCGAAAATCTGGTCCGCGCACGAACCGGTTTTGGCAACCTTGAGATGGCTCCCATTTCTGGTGTTGAGCATCCAGTCCGCTCCAGCTCCCGTTCAGGTTTTTTTTTTTTTATTTCCCCAGGAAAACAAAAGGAACCTCGGCGAAGCGCTCAAAGCGCGTCCACTCCGCGATCAAGTTGAAGAAAGGCGCATCCGGAGCGGAGCCGTGACGCAGAGACGTGGCTGGATCAGGCGTCGAAATGGTGGCAACAGGATAACAAGCCGGCAGCTCGGAGGGCTCCATCATCTGAGTCGGTCAGGTGTGGAGGATGCTGTCATCAGCAGCACAGCCCCGTCAGCTCTGCCTCAGTCAGCTGATGACGTCACTGAGGGAGGGGGAGGGGGAGGGGGCACCGTCCTCCTCCGACCCCCAGCAGCTCTCTGCACACAGGAACAGCCTCTTAGAATAAAAACAGAAATATGCCCAGGCACCTGTTAGAGCCCCTAAAAAAGAAACAAAAAGAATATCTTTGAAAATAAAAAGACCTTTTTTTTATTATAAGGAACTCATGTTGTCTCATCATATCTGTTTATATCAACAAAACAGCTGCAGAAATGTGATTTTCTGCATGGAAACATGCTGAGCAGACTAACGTGAGTGCTGAAACTTAACTCTTAAAACAGGACATGTAGCAAAAATAGCAACTTAAAAAGTCAAAGTAGGTTAGCTAAAAGTAGCAAAAGGCTACTTGAAAGCTGAAAAAGCCAAAAAGCAAAACACAAACTAACAATTAAAAGTAGAAAAAGATTCTTAAAAAGCAGCTCAAAGGAAAACCCCAAGATAAAACATAAAAATAACAAGGCATATAAAAGCAAAACTCCAGCAATAATTAGAAATAAGCAAAAGCAAGCTAAAATTGGTAAAACACTATAGCTGGCAAGAAGCTATATAGCTAAAAAAAAAATAAAAGGAAACGTTAAGCAAAATGCTAACAAAACTCTATAAAAGTGACAAAATCTAGCTAAAATCAGCTAAAAGTAAAAAAAACTAGCAAACTAAAGGCAAAGCACAAGCTAAACTTAAAAAGCAWCTAAGCCAAGCTGAAAGGCTAAGCTTAAAGTAGCTGAAAGCAAATAAAAAGCAAAACACTTGTTAAAAGCTAAAGGTGGTAGCCTAAAAGTGACACTTATGGCCTTAATGTTTGTTTTTGTTTGTTTGTTTATATGTTTGTTTGTTTGTTTTTTCAGCATCTTCCAGCTGAATTTTATGCAGACAATATAACCCACACACCTTTCTGCTCCACTCTGTCCAGTTACTGTCCCTCATTTCAATGTCTGGATGCAATCTAATTAAATTCCCAGCCTGCAGTTCCACCGCCCGCCTCCAGGTGGCGGTGCAGGTTGCCGCCGCGGACCTCGTTCGAGCCTCTTTCTCCAAGATGTCGGTGTTCGGGCCAGTGGTGAAAATCCACCCCGTCGTTGTCGCTTCCATCTGCGACTCGTACGAGCGGAGGAACGAGGGAGCGAGTCGAGTRATCGGAACCCTGCTGGGTAAGCAGAGAGCCGACGTGTCTGTCCTCCGTCGCGGTGGACACAAACTCGTGATAAAKATGCCGACAGGATGTGGCTAGCAGCGTTAGCTCGCCGGCTAACGCACGTTGGCTCAGTGTTTAGCCTGATGCAAACCGCATCTGGGAGCAGCTGTTTCTGTGTTAAAGCGTCTGTCTAGAGCGGCTCATTGATTTTTAATATCTTGYCTCTTAGGGACCATTGACAAGCACTCTATCGAAGTGACCAACTGCTTCTCTGTTCCTCACAACGAGTCTGAAGATGAGGTAAAGTCTTTATTTACAAACAGATAATGAACGTGTTTTAGTAACTAAGCTACTCTGAGCATTTTGTATGAATCRCTAGCTGCCACAGATTCTAATAAAACAAAAAGGATTAACTCATAAAGTGAAACCTAAACAAGTGTTTACAGATGTACCACCAAACTGTTGTGTTCTAGGGGTGTAAGAAAATATCGATACACTGAAATATCACRATATTTCATTTCCCGATACTATATCGATATTCTAAAGCCCTGTATCGATTTTTTTATTAAGGTTTAAAATGTCAACTTTCCTGCCAGCCGTTCATTTTGTGTTGTAGTTCAGCCTCTGACCACTAGTTGGCAGCAGTGAGCCAGCCATTTGGCTCCTTTACCTCTTGAGTGCCAGAGAGTAAGGGTAGCATTAGCATTGTGAGTTTTTTTTATTTTTTATTAAACAACAAAGAACACACAAAATGATACAATGTACAAACAATAAGGCGTATTTCAAACAAACAAACAAACAAACTTGCATAAAAGAGAAAAAGGATGGGTGCAAATAAAGATAAGAAATTTTAAAATAAGAAGGAACAACAAGAACAAAAAAAACTAGGGTTTAGATG